ACCCTTGGAACAAAATATTAATTGAAAAGAATAGTTTTTGGGTTTTTGAATTTATAGGTTCAAAAACTATTGGAGATCAACAACTTTCCAATGATATATTACAGTTGCTCGTTGTTGTTACAGTTGTGTTTTTTTTACACTCTGATAAACAATCCTTTCTAAATTGGTGTAAAGGCTATTTCTTTCCAAAAATCCTAGCACAGCAAAAGTAAAGAAGAAAGTTTGGAAATGTTTGAATCACAATTTTGAAGAGGGCATCAACCCCTCAGTTGTTTACAGAGTTTACTGATTACAAGACACATTACATCCTTCGAAAGTGGTCCATATCATATTTTGTGTGTAATTTGAATGGCACTACGACAATGAGTTATTCAATTTAAACCTATGGTATAGACATGTAAGCTTGATTGTAAGAAAGTATTGAATGTGCACTAGAATAACAAAAAAATGTCTTTTCCAATTTGGTTCTTTCAGTGTTGTTGTGAGAATGTCGAAGTTATAGGAAATCATGCAAAGCACAAAAGCCATCTAACCATGAATATTCTGCGAGCTGTCAAATCAAAAGATAACAGTGAATTTAAGGTAGTATCCTCTATAGTATCTACTGTTTTCTTTGCTTTTTGGCTCTTTTCCTCAAAAACTAATAAAAGCCTGAGTTTTCCTTTGTAATAAATATGCGAGTTACATTAACATTAGAACACAGAAGGGAGGATGCACAAAACATTTTTCCAGCGTGCTTAAATCTGACGCCCGCCGATGTTAGCAAGTAGTTTGAAACAAAAATATCAAAATGTATGCTTTAATATATTTTACCATTTCCATTTTTAAGGAACTCAGATTTATGTAAGAAACGCTCATGAGAAAGGTCAATAATTTTAGCACATCTCACACATTTTTGCTCTCTGACCATGATTTTATCTGACAGTCCACGTTCGTATTTATAAATAGTTATCATGGCTTGCAAAGTCTGAGAATTCTAGTGTGGTATAGATAATCAATGTAGTTCAGATATTAAAGTCAACATGATCCGGCTGTCGCCGTTTTATGGATTGCCATTTGCAAAATTTGCAGGGTAGATGCTCGAGTATGTAAGATGTAATTGCGTCACAAGGCCACAACTTACTAGGAATTTTCTATCTAATTATGAAACACAAACTGGATATATTCTAGGTAAGATAACATTTCTGATAAGGTATGCGGACAACGTGTTAGTGAAAACAGACAAGAAATGAGAGAGTGGGCGTTATAATTTATTGCAATGCATGCATGCCCTATCGTAAAGGGTTGTAACGGAATTCTTAGAAAACATAGTAGCAGAATTGTCTGTAATATTAAAATAGAGGGTTTCTGCATTGTACTCATAGTCAAATCTCACTTTGTCGTTATTGTTCTTCACACAAGGCAAGCAACATAATATTTTATTAGAACACCTCAAACCTTAAAAAATTGAGCATTTAACAACTTGATCACGACAGACAAAGGCATGTACAACAATTGACAATTGACGGTAAAATTAATGATTTTCATTCAAATCTTACTCTTCACCCGTTAATGATGCATAATTGAAAAGGCTGAACTGGTCAGCGATCTTAACCCAGGTCACACATAGGAAGCGTAAAAAACAAAGTTAGTAAACAAAAAAGGAGGCAAAGCAATACTTGATACATTGTTCCTTTTTTTCAAGAAAAAAGGTGCTAGAGGAAGCTTTAAGAGGCAGAAGCGATGATATTGCCACTGTAATTTCTTGCGATAGAGGGTAAACCAGAAACAAATATCGATAGTTCTTTTGTACTAAAAGTAATCTGTTTGCAGATTGCACATAAAAGGATCTCAGGAAAGGTACTGTGTACTTTAAAGTTAGCTCTCAATGGTTATTGTTAGATATGACGTTTACAACTGTGTTTTTTGAGACCCACGACGAAAAGTTTGTTGCTTCTGGATCTGCTATAGCGAGTCGGATTTTTTGCTCTTCTTAAAACGCTTGAGCTTCACCTTTTCCACGAGACTATCTGCTCGATCCAACGCTTCGCGATTCCTATGGTCATCACGGTTTGTAATCGCTTGACGTTTGTAAGTGTCCCGTCCCGAACCTCTGAAATAAAACAATAGTTTCTCCAAAAATATGGTTTTTAGATTTAAGAAGATGTACTGGCTGTTTGACGTAACCTACTGATTGCCTACCTCTGTTTGTTTAGCGCAACAACTTCACTATGCTTAGTTTCGCGTATTGGTTCTGGTTGCTCATCCTCATCATCTTCTTCT